AAAGATTGCATTCATCTGGGCGATATAAAGTAACAAAGTATGAAATTAATACCCAAGAATAGCTGAGATCAGCACCAGGAGGATTACTCCATAGCGTAGAGGCCAGCCGGGCATTCTAGGGGAAAGGGCAGCTCAGATAGAGAAGGGAGCACCAAATAAAGGGTGTTTGGAGGATACTCCCAGGAGGGGAGATGCATGTTGAAAGTAGACTATGGACTGAACATGTTTGCCACTCAATGCCTCTTTTGCAGACCACAACACCCAAACGAAGAGAGAGAACACAAGGGATTGCCCTGCCACAGAGGCAGGGTGGGATTGGGGGGATGGGGGTGTGGGGATATTATCCATGGTGGTGGAAAATGGGCACTGGTAGAGGGATGGGTATTTGATCATTGTATAATCGAAACCCAAGCACAAAAAATTGTAAATCTACAACTGTACCTCATGGTGTATCACTAATAATAAAAAATGAAAAAAAAAAACACAGCAGAAATGACATCTGCACTTGTATGTTCACTGCAGCACTACTCACAATAGCCAGAATCTGGAAACAACCTGTGTGCCCTAGAACAGATGACTGTTAAAGAAATTATGGTGCATATGCACAATGGAATACAATACAGCTGTTAGAAAAAAATAGCACTGCACTGAGCACTGTGCCTCCCATTGTTCATCAATTTGCTCGAGTGGGCCCAATAACATCTGTATTGTGAGATTTGCTGTTACTGTGTTTTGGCATATCGAATACATCATGGGTAGTTTGCCAGGCTTTGCCGTGCAGTTGAGATACTCTCGGTAGCTTGCCAGGCTCTCCGAGAGGGTTGGAGGATTCGAACCTGGGTCGGCCGCGTGCAAAGCAAATGCCCTACCTGCTGTACTATCACTCCAGCCCAGAAAAAATAAAGCAATGAAATTCACTTATAAATGGATGGATATGGAATGTATCATGCTGAGTGAAATAAGTAAGAAGGAGACAGCATTTATTTGTGGAATTAAGAAAAAAGAAGCATAGTATGAGACTAATAACCAAGAATAGCAGGAAAAAGAACCAGGACAAAGGGTTCATGGTTGAAAGCCTGCCTCAAGGGCTAGGAAAGAGGTCAGTTGGGATAGAGAAGAGACCATTATTACAATGATGGGCTCACGGGAAGGAATTGCTTGCGGGAAGGAATTGCTCTGGATGGGAGATGTGTGCTGAAAGTGGGTAAAGGACCAAACATGATGGATTCTTAGTATTTGTACTTCTAGCGGAGAGTGGTCTCAGCATGGTGGTGGGGAGCAGGTTGAGCTTTCCTCCCCGCCCCGACCAGGGCTCCGGCAGCCGAAGACCTCCAGGACCAGCCACCACCATGCTGAAACCACTCTCCGCACACCTGAACGTACCGGCAGAGGTACAAAGGCAAGCGGGCCCCGGGGCTGAGATCTCCAAGCCTACTCGGATCGGGGCCGGGCATCCTCCACCCAGATCCTCCGAATTCCAGTAGGTGGGGGTCACACCCACCAACTGGCCCCCTGGAGCCGTGTAATCCCATCAACGGCCAAGACTCAGAGACTTTAAAACCCAGCTCCCGGAACATCTTATTATGACATCTTATTAGCTCATTCTTACTTCGGACAAACTGGCAGGCTACCGAATGTAACCTGCCCACACGGCAGAGTCTGGCAAACTCCCCGTGGCGTACCCAATATGCCAAATACCAGTAATAATGATGGGTCTCATTCTCCTAAAGAGCCTTGAATATAGCACTTTCTTAAAAATCTCAGGGCTAGGATGAAGGAGACGTTACTGGGGCCTGCTCGAGGCAATCAACGAATAACATGATGGTCATGATTCGTAATTCGTACTTCTAGCCATAACACCCAAAAGAAGGGAGGAAGGAATGGAGAGAGAGAGAAAGACAGAGAAAAATGTATGCCATAGAAGCAGGCTGAAGGGGAAGGGCTGGAGGGATATGGGGAATATTAGTGGTGGGAAAAATATACTAGTGTAGGGATGGGTGTTGGAACATTGTTTGACTGAAATCCAGTAATGAAAGCTTTGTAACTGTATCTCATGGTGATTTAATAAAAAATGAATTTAAAAAAATATGGTAACTATTTTTCTATTTTCATTTCAGGGCCATACCTGGCTGTGGTCAGAGCTTATATCTGGCTCTTTACTCAGGGTCCAATTCTTGTGCGGTTCTTGTGAGGTTCACATCATCACATTCTTTTTTTTTTTTTTATAATTTATTTATTGGATCACTGTGGGAAAAGTTACAGAGCTTTCGGGTTTAGGTCTCAGTCATGTAGATACCAAACATATTTCCCTTTACCAATACTCATTTTTAACCCCGAACCCCAATAGACCCCCACCTCCCACCCCTCCCAATTCTTGTGAGGCAGATGAGTTCTAGTTAATACTCTATCTACTTTGACTAGATAGATTATTTCGATAGAAGATGCACAATTATTGTTTAGAGTTTACGACCCACCCCCCACAATCAGACATGCTGAAACAGCGTTGTGAAATGATTTGCTTTCTACAATTTGGTTTAAGAATAAAATGATGTCGCGCGGCCGCTATTGCGGCCGCGCGGTTTTGAATTTCTACTATTTTACTTATTGACCCTGGAAGAATTTCTATTAAAAGTTAGCTAGTTAAGAGATTGGTTTGTGTGCCCTGGAGTCGTGGCCGTGCCGGAGAGCCGCTCCTGGGGGGCAGCTGGCGACCTCGGTGGGGCGTGGGGGACGGCCCACAAAGCCCCCCTTCCCATGAGGTCCCTGCCGCTCCCGCCAGCCCCGGCTCAAACCTGCTTTCCACAAGGCTCCCGTGCGGCCGCCATCTTTCTTTCCAGAGAGGAGCGGGCGGGCTGGTCAACGCCCTTTCCCCTCCGGGCAGGCTTGGTGGCGCGCGGTTTAACACAAGTCCATTTGCTTTTCTGCTCCAAGCGGCTGGTTCTCTGTGCTAAGTCCTTGTGCCTCCGGGGCCGTGGCCGTGCCAGAGAGCCGCTCGTGGGGGGCAGCTGGGGACCTCGGTGGGGCGTGGGGGACGGCCCACAAAGCCCCCCTTCCCATGAGGTCCCTGCCGCTCCCGCCAGCCCCGGCTCAAACCTGCTTTCCACAAGGCTCCCGTGCGGCCGCCATCTTTCTTTCCAGAGAGGAGCGGGCGGGCTGGTCAACGCCCTTTCCCCTCCGGGCAGGCTTGGTGGCACGCGGTTTAACACAAGTCCATTTGCTTTTCTGCTCCAAGCGGCTGGTTCTCTGTGCTAAGTCCTTGTGCCTCCGGGGCCGTGGCCGTGCCGGAGAGCCGCTCGTGGGGGGCAGCTGAGGACCTCGGTGGGGCGTGGGGGACGGCCCACAAAGCCCCCATTCCCATGAGGTCCCCGCCGCTCCCGCCAGCCCCGGCTCAAACCTGCTTTCCACAAGGCTCCCGTGCGGCCACCATCTTTCTTTCCAGAGAGGAGCGGGCGGGCTGGTCAACGCCCTTTCCCCTCCGGGCAGGCTTGGTGGCGCGCGGTTTAACACAAGTCCATTTGCTTTTCTGCTCCAAGCGGCTGGTTCTCTGTGCTAAGTCCTTGTGCCTCCGGGGCCGTGGCCGTGCCGGAGAGCCGCTCGTGGGGGGCAGCTGGCGACCTCGGTGGGGCGTGGGGGACGGCACACAAAGCCCCCCTTCCCATGAGGTCCCCGCCGCTCCCGCCAGCCCCGGCTCAAACCTGCTTCCCACAAGGCTCCCGTGCGGCCGCCATCTTTCTTTCCAGAGAGGAGCGGGCGGGCTGGTCAACGCCCTTTCCCCTCCGGGCAGGCTTGGTGGCGCGCGGTTTAAACAAGTCCATTTGCTTTTCTGCTCCAAGCGGCTGGTTCTCTGTGCTAAGTCCTTGTGCCTCCGGGGCCGTGGCCGTGCCGGAGAGCCGCTCCTGGGGGGCAGCTGGCGACCTCGGTGGGGCGTGGGGGACGGCCCACAAAGCCCCCCTTCCCATGAGGTCCCCGCCGCTCCCGCCAGCCCCGGCTCAAATCTGCTTTCCACAAGGCTCCCGTGCGGCCGCCATCTTTCTTTCCAGAGAGGAGCGGGCGGACATCATCACATTCTTATGTGATGCTGGGGACTGAAACTGGGTCAGCTGTTGATAAGGGAATTGCCCTACCCACTGTACTATTTCTCCACCCAAACTGTGAGCTTTATATTTAGAAATTTTTAAAAATAGAATCAGTCGGGTGGGGATATAGTTTAAAGGACTGTACTGCATGTTTTGCATGTGGAACGCCTGTGTTTAATACCTGACACTGCATGGTCCCCCAAGTACCACTGGAAGTAACTCTCAATCACTAAGCCTGAACACCAGTGCATGTGGTACAAGAAGAAACAAAAATCAGGGCTGGAGAGAGAGAGTACAGGGGTTAAGATATATACTTAGCAAGCAACTGACTCTGATTTGATCTCTGGTAGCACATGATCCTCTGAGCATTAATGGATGTAGCCCTGAAGACACCCAAGCATCATCAGGGTCATATGGGAAATACCCAAAACTGCAGGGTCATATAAGCACCATATTCTTGGGCCCTCACATTAGACGACCAGCCAAATTAGCTGATAAACTCACAGAGTGGCCCGCATGGCATCTGAGTACTGCTTGGGAGTAACCCACACCAAATCAGCAACTAAATATTTTACATGCTTTAATATTTGATTTGTCTGAGGCAAAGAATTGAAAAAGGTAATTTCTTTGAACTCCTACTGTATATGTTGCCATGTATATGAATGAAACAGAATACATTATTTGCATGTTTTTTGATTCTGTGCATACCCTGTGGCCATGAAATTAATAATCTGATAAAGAAAAACATTCTATAAATATTGTTTTGATATTTGAGTCAAATGGGAAAAATTTTGCAAAAAGAAGAGCTTTATCCTCCATAACTTCACATGTATAATACTATTTCCAGAGCTACAACATTACAAATGGTAAATATATAATTATTTATTCAGGGTAGAGGACCAGTCAACCAACTGGCATACTTACCTGAGGGTCCTGGTAATCCAGGCTCCCCACTTAATCCAGGTTGTCCTGGGTCTCCAGGTAAGCCAGGATGACCTTTTGGCCCAGAAACTCCAGGAAATCCTTACAATGATTGAAAAAATGGTATCATTAATCCATTAATTAGGCAGAACTAAACAGTCAAATTCTGAAGTATGAGAGAAATAGGAAACAGTAATATTCTAATAGAGTATGAATCAATACTAGTCTATACCAGCACTGGACTCTCACAAAATATAAATCCTCACACTTATCCATTATTTAAAAATTCAGAGGATTTAACAAGTTATTTTCTTCTATGGTTCTGAGTTTCTTATGCTGTAAAAATGACAGAAATCTGGTAATGTGATTGGTTCTAGAACATTGTATGTTTAAAACTCAACTATGAATAACTGTAAATCACAGTGCTTTAATAAGACACTTTTGGGGCCGGAGCGATAGTCCTGTATGGAGGTCGTTTGCCTTGCAAGTGGCCAACCCAGACTCAATCACCGGCATCCCATATGGTATCCTCAGCATCACCAGGAGTAATTCCTGACTACAGAGCCAGGAGTACTCCTGAGTATCACCAAGTGTAACCCAAAAAGCAAAAAAAAAAAAAAGAGAGAATAAAACATTTTTTAATAGATGAAAAGAAATATCACAAATTATTTCTAGGCCATCTTGGAGACCTTAAGAAAATCTTTAACAATCTTGTTTCATAGGCAAGTACAGTTTACTACCTCTATTTTGCAGAAGGAATATTTGAAAGAGAAAAGACATCTTGCAAGGAACGAGTGAAGAAAAATATATCATCTTAGCAATAACAAAATTGTCCATGCCTCTTTTGTGACTAGATACAAAACTCCAATCATAATTGAGGGCTAGTTAAATAACTTTTAGGAAAAATTTAGTAAAAGTATTTTGAAGAAAAATTTTTGAGGAAAAATTTCACTTATTCTCATAAGGAAATTTATGAAATCTGTGTATATGTTCATATGAACACAGAATGTTAATATTAATGACAATAACATTAATGGTTACAACACAAAAACAGTTAAAAATTCTAAACATCAAAGAAACACTGCCAGATTTTTTAGGGGGGGGGGTGTTGAGGCCATACCTGGTGGCAAACAGGATACTACGCAGTGCCAATTATCCAACCAGGGTCAGATGCACGCAATGCAAGCACTTTTACTCTCTACTATTTCTCTGATACAACAGTAGTTTTAAAGTTCTGTATTGTGTGAAAAGGCAATGAGTTGCATTTAAAATAGCAGGTATATTGGGGCTGGAGATATAGTATACTGGGTAAGGCGCTTGATTTGCATGCATCCGACCTGAGTTCAAATCCTGGCTCCCTACATGGTCTCCCAAACACTGCCAGGAATAAGCCCTGAATACCAGCAGGTGTGGCCCCCAAAATAAATGAATAGTAAAAAATTTAAAAGCCATGTATGATATGGTATCAACACTGCAGGGTAACAATGCACTATTCATTCTTCTCTGGTTTCAGAGTGGTTCAAAAGGACCAGTAAATGTTCCAAAATTTGAAATCTGATTTCGCATTGATTCTGGCTATATATTCCTTTCTCTTTACCATCTAGAAATATTATATTCTGGAAGTCATAAAGGTGACTTCCTAACATAACTTTAAAATCTCAAAACTTTTAATAGCTAAACTACAAAACAAATATTTCAATGCTGATTAGTGAACAGTACAAATCAAGTGAAAATTATTCCTCAAATTTTATGTATCTACGTATCTCTTATTGATGAATCCAGTACTATGGAATTCTTCATACTATGAAATAGTGGATTTCAGACAAGCAACAAACCACATCCATAAATAAATAAATTCACTCACCAGGTAAACCAGGGTCCCCCTTCTCTCCTTTTGAGACTATCAGATCTGGATCCATTGGTCCAGGGGGACCTGGAAGGCCAGGCTCTCCTTTACTACCTTTTTCTCCTGCAGGGCCAGGAAGTCCTGGTTGCCCCGGAAAGCCATTATCACCTATAGCCAGCACAGGTGGAAAAGATACAATAGTAAGATTCATCGATCCATGACTGATGCATACACAGATGATTTATAAATTCCACTGTTGAGTAGTTCACTGAGCATCCAACACTAATGTACCTTAGTTATTTAACACACACATTTTTACACTAAATACCAATCTTTTCATCTGGGATTCTCTGATAATTACAGACTATAAAAATCAAAATTTAATCCCCTGTACTGCATTATTTTGAGGTAAAACTTATGATGTCACAAGGTATGCAAATAAATCATGCCACCAAATTAAAAGCAGTACATAGTTAAATGCCATGTCACATAGAAACAAAATGAAAGATTTCTCACTTTATTTTTCTTTTTTAAAATTTTATCTTATTGAATCACCATGAGATACATTTACAAGCTTTCATGTTTGAGTTACAATCATACAATGTTCAAACACCCATCCCTCCACCAGTGGACATTTCCCACCACCAATTTCCCCAGTATACCCTGCTTTTCCAACCTCCTCCTGCCTCCGTGGCAGATAATTTCCCACATACTCTCTCTCTACCTTTGGGCATTATAGTTTAAGATTGCTCACTTTAAAGCAGTAAAAATTATTCTGTATTGTCATAAAGCAATGCTTAATTTTATCTTACAGACAGATGCCAACTCTAGAATATTACCTTTAAGACCAGGAACACCACTCCTTCCTGGAATTCCCAAAGGTCCTGGTGGGCCTGGAGGTCCCATAACACCCATTTCACCTTTGGCACCTTTTAAAAATGTCAATAAATAAGTTTTATTTTTCCTTGACCTTGGAATTATAAAAGCTGTTTTAAGCTCTCAACTGGAAAGACATTGAAGGTGGAAGGAAAAATGATGCATTTCAACACTACAATAGTTTTAAACTTAGGAATCACTACTGTCAATACCCATAAATAAAAAGATTTTGCATGTTTGTGAATCTCCAATGAATATTCTCTCTACATCATTCACCGCCTGAGAACTACACTTCCTATTATATACTCCCTAGTGTAGACATCTCTCCTTCAACATTTACTACTTCTAGGTTTTGCTCTTGAAAAAGTAGCACTGTGATTTCCAAACTTAAATCATAACATTGTTTTAGTTTCCACTTAAGGTTCTTATAATACTCATTTCTGGTTATGAATTATTTCTTTTGGGAGTTAGCTACCCTAAAAAAAAGCAACTACCCTGACACTGCCACCATAATAAGACCACAAGTCATGTGAAGGGGTAACACGGATAATGAGATATAAAGTGAAGAGACCAAGACCCAGGAATTAGAGAAATACTATTTTGGAAATATATCTTTCTTTCTCAACCACTCAAGTGTGTGACAAGTGGATAAGATCTAAACACATAACCTTATCAAGTAATCATTTTATATTTTTATTAAAGAAATATTTAGCAAAATAAAATGCTTAACTTAAGCCATTAAATTATGTGGTGATTTGTACTACAGAAATACAGAATTACATTATAGAAATACATTAGAGAAGTGAAATTTTCAGACAAAAATATTATGCAGGGACCCATGTGAGCTCAAAGGTAGAACTCACAATAGGCCTGTGTAAAGTCCGGGATTCAACACCCAGCAGGAGAAAACAATCATGTGATGCAAGCAGAAAAGTAAATTTTCTACGAACACTGAAAGGTTTTCCTTAAGTGGTAGTGTCAATCCAGAAAAGTATAAGAAAATAATATTTCAGAGACATATTAGTTTACATTTCCTGAATCTAGAACCAGTAAAACTTTAAACAAATTACCTGGAAAACCGGTGGCACCTGCTTTGCCTGGGAGCCCTGGTGATCCTGGAGGTCCCACAGGACCAGGTGCTCCAGGGATCCCTGGACTGCCTTTCTCACCAGGGGGACCTGGAACATCAAATCCAGGAGGTCCTGAATCCCCCTTCTCTCCTGGTATTCCTTTTAAGCCTAGTTAATAATAATAGTGACAGGTGTTAATTAGTGTTAAGAAATGCATTTGTTTATTTTTCTAGCAATGAAATGATAGAATTCTGTGTATAACAAACTGGGACAGTGAGTTAGAGATACTTTTGGCATCAAGCATATAAAATGAACCAACCGTAAAATTTAGGATTTTTAAGCATATTTCTCCAAGAACGTGCTTTTATTACTATGGTGAAAGATCAATTTTTTTTCAAATCCCTGAGGCATAGTAAATACATTTTTATAAACTACAATAAAAATTAGTTAAAATGTAAGCAAAAACCTAGGGGCTGAAGAGTTAGTACAGCAGGTATGGCACTTTCCTTGCATGTGTCACCAATCCAAGTTTAATCCCCTGCACAATATATGCCCCTCCCAGACACACCAGGAGTGATCCTGAGCACAGATCCAGCAGTAAGTCCTGAACACCCCCCAGTGTAGCACAACCAACAAACACGGTCACGGTCCTCCCGTTGTTCATCGATTTGCTCGAGCGGGCCCAGTAACGTCTCCTTCGTGAGGCTTGTTGTTACTGTGTTTGGCATATTGAATACATCACGGGTAGCTTGCCAGGCTCTGCCGTGCGGGCGAGATACTTTCAGTAGCTTGCTGGGCTCTCTGAGAGGGGCGGAGGAATCGAACTCGGGTTGGCCATGTTGGCTGCGTGCAAGGCAAATGCCCTACCCGCTGTGCTATCGCTCCGGCCCTAACCAACAAACAATCTAAAGTAAATATAAAGCTAAAGAAATACAAAATCAAGCCTACTATTTTGGCTACTATTTTCAACCACAATTACACGGTCATATTGCTATGACATATGCTTACTCCCAATTTCTTCTAATTCAGTTCATTGGAACTGTAGATTTTGTCTGAATAACTAAGTTTACTTTGGAGGGGGGTGATAGGGAGGAACTCTTGGGACACTGGTGGAGGGAAGTGGGCACACTGGAGGTGGGTGTGGTATTAGAACAATGTACAAATGAAAAGTATATTTAACTCAATAGTAAACCACAGAATCTCAAAAATTTGAAAAATGGATATATATTATTCATTTGCTAATTTTTCTAGCAGTCAAATGATAGAAATATATATATATATACACACACACATATATGGTGTAGACTGGTAACAAATGGCTTGTGATTTGACATTCATCAATCATGCTTATATTTTTATGGTTTGTTGTTACATGTTCATTCATTGTTTCATTGTTGGAGAGATGGTACAGAATGTAAGATGCTTCCCTTACATACAGACAACCTGCTTTCAACCTCTGGCACCATATAAGTTTCCGGAGTACTGCCAGGAGTGGGCCAGGAATAAGCTTTGAGCAATGACAGGTTTGTCTAAACCCACCCCGCAAAAAAAGAAATGATCTGCCTTGTTTTAACATATTATGGATTATTGATGAATGTTTCTAGAATACTTAAAAATATAAAGAATTATTCCATTATAATAATCACATATCAATCAATAATTGATAACTACCCTTTTAATTTTATTTTTGCTTTGCTTTACTGTTTAAATAATAAACTTTCCACTTTCCGGACGTTTGGGATGAGCCTCATGCATGAGTGAAGCTGCATGGTATCCAGGTAATGCAAAACTTTGTGACCATGGACTCTGGGTCCAATGGGACCCGGGAGCAGAGATCCCCTTCCTGCTTCACCATTTCTGGAGAACCAGGGGTCACACCCAGATGTCATTCCCTGCCGGTGCCAGATGATCTCATAGGCCACCCTCCAGAACTCACGGCTGCTTCTCCCAGAAGGGAGCACAAAACGGGGCTTCCTATAACCATGCCACCAGACTCCATGCCAGGCTGTTTTCACTTGTGGCGCCCCAGAGGGGGGCAGGTGAGAGCCCTTCCCGCCCCAAGGGCCCCAGCCCAGGCAGCTGACTTCCACTACCCACCCGCCGCCACGCTCCAGGCCACTCTCTGGACCGCTGGACCGTGTGGCCGCTTTGTGGCCACGTGACACATTATAAGACACTTTCTACCTATTTTCCATAATTACCACACCATGTTTGATGGGGTTCAGACAGTAGGCAACAAATTTAGAGAGAAATATATATATATATATATATATATATATATATATATATATATATGCCTCTCGGAAGCCTGGCAGGCTACTGAGAGTGTCCCACCTGCATGGACAGAGCCTGACAAGCTCCCCGTGGCGTATTCAATGTGCCCAAAACAGTAACTATAACAGGTCTTATTCCCCTGACCCTGAAAGAGCCTCAATTTATTGGGAAAGACAAGTTAGGAGAGGCTGGTAAAATATCAGGGCTGGGACGAATAGAGACGTTACTGGGGCCTCCTCGAGTAAATCAAGGAACAATGGGATTACAATAATTACAGCAATACTATTAGTTTTTGTTACTAATTTTATTTCTTAGTATTCCAACCACAATTTTACAGAAAAAATATGGCATTCAGTGGCTGGAGAGTTAATACAGTGGGTGGGGTGCTTGACTTTCATGTAGATGACCAAGAATCCATCCCTAAAACCCCATATGGTCTTGTGAATGCCACCACGAGTGATCCCTGAGCTCAGAGCCGAAGTCAGCCCTGAATACTGCTGGGTGTGACCCCAAAATGAAACAAAAAAAGAAAAAATATGGAATTTAAATATATGTAACCGGGGCTGGAATGATAGTACCAGGTAGGGCATATGCCCCGCACACAGCTGACCTGGGTTTGATCCCCAGCATCCCATATGTTCCCACGAACTAGGAATGATTCCTGAGTGCAGAGCCAGATGTAACCCAAAAAAGCCAAAAAAGTTATCTTATCACATCTGTCAGTAATACTTAATTACTCTAAAAAACAAGGTCGTTTAAAAATAACATAGTTACGGAAAATAACTACATTAAATCAAGATATGAGTTGCCACTTCAATATCTATCTACTGTATAACACTGTGAATCAATGTTGTTGGTCTTCCTCTATTAAGTGGGGATATTCCATAACTGACTACACATCAGATTTAGCAAGGTTTCAATTTCAAAGTAAACTCCAACAACAGCATGTGATATTACTGTTGAGGTTCACAGGCAATTTTTACAAGAGAGCAAGATGATGATATTTTAAGGTGCTTCATGTGATATATCAACCTGATAAAATTTGCTTTGAAGATTAGGATATTCTCATCCAGACCGGTTCCTCCAGCCATCATTTTCTTAGTGATCCCTTTTCTATTCCAGCTGTGGTGGGGAATGTGCACTGGTGGAGGGATGGGTGTTTGATCATTGTGTGATTGTAACCCAAACATGAAAGCTTGTAACTATCTCACTGTGATTCAATAAAATTTTTTTAAAAAGATTAGAATATTCTAGTATTATGTTGCTTCATACTCCTAAAGAGTAAAGATATTTTAGATAATTATATTTGTGAAATATAATAAATATCTAATAAATTCTTATAATTTTACATGAACCATTATATATTATATTATAGCCCAAGAAGTTTTTAATATCTGAGTTTTCAAGAAAACAATTTTTTCTTTTGAAATATATTCCTATTGAGTAGCTTTACAAATTACTGAAAAGATACCAAAGGCCTATATCTGAAAAAGTCTTATTTGTTTTCCAGGTTTAAAGCTTTGCTGAAAGACTTTTGGGGAAGAACTACAGTATCAGGTAAACTTCAGTTCAAATCAAAGGAAGAAGAATAACCTAAGCAGAAGCAAGTTGTAAAAAGATTCATTAGGTTTGGAGATAAAATTAAGCACATAAAGATTTGAACAAAAACCACAAATAGTTGTTATTAGATATTAATATAGGTCTTATATTACTGATGAATAAAATATACTTTAACATTTACTAAGATATTCATATAGTATATTCTATAAATGAAATGTTTTTGTAAAGAAAGTATCCATACCAAAATTATTCACATTCACAGAAAGCAATACTCTGATAAAGAGTTTATATTCTTGTTCTCCCTAATCTTTATATTGCTATGACTAATAATTTTGGAATTTAAATTCCTAAAGTTCAAAAACTAAAACAATTTTATTTTATACTGTCACAGGTTATATACAGAAAATTCAACTAGTGGTTGTTCATGATTATACAAGCTACATATACTAGACAATAGTTTATTTTTATTACTATTAGTAACATATTATGCTATACTTTACACAACACAGATATTTTTCATGAATGTACATAGTAGTAAAGTCCAAGATGAAGAGTCAATATAAATTCAAAATAGGTTTAACCTCCTTATACAATAAAAGAAATTAAATGAATATATCTCTAGAGAGGAATTTTTCTAGGGGAACATCTGAAATGGGAATGAGATATTAAAAGTGAATCTATAGGTAGCTAAAAATAGTTCAAAGGGCAGGAGGGAATGTTTTCATGCAGGAGATTTGTATTTGATACATATCTCTGCTACCACAGGGACCCCTGAGTACTACCAGAGTGACCCAAACACATTGAGAAAGAAGCAGTTGCCAAACATAAACAGGTATAGTTCAAAACAGAACCAAAAAGTGACCATATGTACAAAGTATAAAATATAAAGCATGGCCTACCGTACAGAAAAATAAATTATAATTTGAGAATATTTTTATATTAATGAAAGTATATTGTCTACATTTCCCTTCCTGCTGCTGTTAACTTCACTTATTTGGATGAATGAGTTGAAAGTTCACCATTAATTTCTCCTCTAACACATTCACTATATCACTGTCCTCCCATTGTTCATCAATTTGTTCGAGCGGGCCCAGTAACATTGTGAGACTTGTTACTGTGTTTGGCATATCGAATACGTCACAGGGAGCTTGCCAGGCTTTACTGTGCGGGCGAGATACTCTAGGTAGCTTGCCAGGGTCTCCGAGAGGGGCGGAGGAATCGAACTCGGGTCGGCCATGTTGGCTACGTGCAAGGCAAATGCCCTACCCGCTGTGCTATTGCTCCAGTCCTCTAACTCATTAAGTTTTTATAAATCATTATACCTATATATTCAACAGTGAGTAAAAATAATAGATGAAAAGACCCCAAAGTTTTAAAAAGCATAAAGCACAAATATTTGTGTGTCTTGTTTTGGATTTGTAATAACAATGATCTTTGTATTCTTTGGCTAAATTCAAAATACTTTCAAAACCTCAAGCAATTTTGGGAAATACAATTCTGGGAAAACACAACAGAAGTGCAGCCAGGGCAGTAACTAGAACAAGTACATTTCATGTTCTGGGACCCGAGTAAGATCCCTAGAACCACCTGCCCACCCTGCAGCTCGGCCATGGTGTGGTCATGGAGTCCCCAACAGTAGTGGGCCTAAACAGTAACAAAACAATGAACCATCACTAAGTATAGATGTACTAAGCTGAACTAAATATTGCTGGGAGTGACCACAGGACTTCCTAATCACTACTTGGGGCACCTTCTCACGAAACCTATAACAGAAAACATTCATTATTTCAGTCATTTATGTATCAAAGTGAGCAAGTACTTTGCAACCACTTTGTACAAAGCAATACTATATTTTGTCTTACTTTAAAACCAGGGGTGACATAAAAAGATCCATAACAAAGGTACAATGCACAATGAAATTAAAAAAAATTAAATAGGACCAAACAAAAATTATATTTTTTTCTAAAACTTTTATATTGCTAATCACTATTTTCTGTTTTAGTAATAAACAAAACTTACATTACCATTTAGTGCTACAAATATATTCCTACAATTTCTATGTAAATGTATATACGTCTCAACTCTGTGTTTAAGTCATCAATGCATTTATGTTAATCAAAGAAATATAAAATGTTCCACGTACTTAAAATTTTACAAAGTAACAGTACTTTGCAAGAAGATGCTACTAACCTTGAGTGGTCCTTACTGTATCTGACTAGATTAAGGTAATAATGATTCATATCAACACATGGCTCACAATATACTAACAAGTGAATTTTCATGTAAAAATAGAACTTTTGATTAATAGTTGTTACAAGGTAATTCTAGTAAAAACATTAAAATCATTTTACAAGTTAAAAAGTGAGTTTTGGTCTAGGGGCAAAAGAGAAGAGAATTAAATGGACTATTAAAAATAAATGGGTGTCAGAGCGATAGTACAGCAGGTAGGGCATTTGCCTTGCATGCGGCAGACCAGGGTTTGATCCCCAGCACCTCTTATGATTTCCTGTGCCTGTCAGGAATGATCACTGAACACAAAGCCAGTATTAAGCCCTGAGCACCACTGAGTGCCCCCCCCCAAGAAAGAAAGAAAGAAAAAAGAAAGAAAGAAAGAAAGAAAGAAAGAAAGAAAGAAAGAAAGAAAGAAATGAGTGTGTTGGAGATTTAATACAGGGGTAAGAAACTTGCCTTACTCTCTGGTCCAGAGAGTATATGGTTCTTAGAATACTGCCAGAAATGATACCTGAGCACAGAAACAGGCATAAACCCCAAGAAATTCTAGGTGTGCCCTACCACACAAAAACACAAATATAAAAAATAAAAATGCCTAAACAGTGATTTTTTTGGCTTTTGGGCCATATCCAGTGATGGTCAGGGGTTGCTTCTGGCCCCGCACTCAGAAATTACACCTGGCGGTGCTCAGGGGGCCATATGGTATGCTGGTTACTGAACCCGGATCAGCCACTCCAGTCCCTTAAAAGTGATTTTAGGGGCTGGAGCAATAGCACAGAGGGTAGGGCATTTGCCTTGCACGCGGCCGACCCGGGTTCAATTCCCAGCATCCCATATGGTCCTCCGAGCACCGCCAGGAGTGATGCCTGCGTGCAAAACCAGGAGTAACCACGGAGCATCGCCGGGTGTGACCCAAAAAGCAAAAAGAAAGTGATTTTAAACACATTTTCAAAGCCTTAACTCTAATTTCCAAATGCCAAAAAACTGTGAAAATTGTATCTTAATGCTGTACTACAATCAGGTCTAAAATGTGAGTATCAGCAGTTCCTGAGTCTGTGATTACAACTATGACTATCTCAATGATTGTATATTGTTGCAACATATGGAAATTGTTAAGTTGTGTAACTGGTAACAAAAATATGTCATTCAGGAGAGGAAATATCAGAGATTAAAGTAGCTCTTATACTGTGAGCATTTGTAAACATTAGTTCTTCACTTTAACAAAATTATATAACTTCACTTGTTGCCTTTTAGATCTGTTTCTAGAAGACTTCTACCTAGACTACACTTTACTCATGAGCTAATGAGCCTCTACATATGAGTACAACAAAAGGTATATTTATTCGAATCTTACCAGGCTGCCCTGCTGGTCCAGGAATACCTGGTGGTCCTGGTGGTCCCTGAACACCTATTCCTGGCAGCCCAGGAGGTCCCATTGGTCCAGGTTGTCCATTTGCTCCAATGTCACCTTTGAGAAACATAGTTTCCATATGAAAAAAAACACATGAACAATAGTCCTAAGGCACAGTGAAAAGGCATAGTGTATTTCACAGGTATATTTAAAAGCTATCTGTTCATTGAGTAAGAAAAGTACATAAAAGCGCTCAGAATGAAAAAAAAGGAATATCCATTTCACACTTTGTAATTTAATATATAATAAGCACACAATGTCAGTACATAAATGTAAAAATAGTATAAAAGATCACAAATCACACATTTCCAACTCATCTTGAGCAAGTGTTTGAATTTTAAAATATATCTTCAAATTATCTTCTTAGAATACAGAGTTATAGTAAGGTTCTTGGCTTATTTGCAGCTGATCCCCAACAATCCCTGAGTCCTGCAAGGAGTGATCCCTGAGCACAGAGCCAGGTATAGCCCTCAGCTCTGCTGGATGTGGCAACAAAACCAGAACTAAACTTAAAAAAACTTATCAAATTACTTTTTTGCTATTTTAAAGGAATAATTTTTATTTAATTAAAGAATTGGGATTTATAAAGTTATTAATACTTGAGTTTTTGGCATATAATATTTTAACACCAATCCAGTCATCACCAGTGTCAACTTCCCTTGACCAGTGCTCCAGTACTCCAATATTCCATTTCCCCCACCCCTACCCCCACACTACATCCGGCTGCCACCTTGACAGGAACATTACAAAGTTCAATGGTGGCAGCTTAGATATGTTTTCAGCATTGCCAAGTCTGTGCTTTGGATATATAGCTATACCACTTTCCCACATCACAAGCATAACTGAAGCTCTGACTCCTGTTCCCCCATTACTTTCCTTTCTTATCTTATCCCCCCACCCCATTGATTATTTCTTTTCTGTCCTTCTCTTCTTGTCCCTAAACTCTGGTTTCAGGCTGATCTAGACATTCCCCCCTCTACTACATTTCCTCACCCAGTTATTCTATATACCATAGACAGATCATTTTGTATTTATCTTTCTTCATCTGGATTACTTTTTCAACATGATATATTTCAATTCGAACCAGATTGCAGCAAATTACATAATTTCCTCTTTCCTCACAGTTGCATAGTATTCCTATATATATATATGTATACACATATATATATTACATCTTCATAATCCATTCATCTATTGGACCACTAAGTTGATGGCAACTGGAGCAAGTGCAGCAACAAATAATGGTATCCCTTTGAATGAGTGTTTTTATGTTGTGGTGGTATATGCCTCAAAGTGGGATTGCTGGGTCATTTGAAGCTTAATTATAAGTTTACTGAGGATTATCCATACTGTTTTCTAGAGGGGTTGAACCACACAACATTCCCACCAGTAGTGGATGACAGTAACTTTTTCACCACATCTCAACCAGCACAGATTTTTCCTACTATTTTTGTTATATGACATTCTAACAGGTGTGAGATGGTATCATATAACAGTCTTTTATTTATTTATTCATTCATTCATTCGTTCATCTTTAATTGAATCATGGTGAGATGAAGTTACAAGTCATTCATGATTTGAGTTTCAGTCATACAATGATAGAATACCCATCCCTCCACCAGTGTACATTTTCCACCACCAATGTCCCCAGTATCCCTCTCACTACCCCCACCCCAAAATATACCCTGCCTCTATGGCAATCTCCCTCTTTCTCTCTCTAGTTTTGGGTATCACATAGCAATCTTATTTTGGATTTCTGTAATGATGAGTGATGCTGAAAATTTTTTTCATATGCTTATTGGCCACCCATCTGTCTTATTCTCAAAAGCATCTGTTTATTTCCTCTCTACATTTTTGGATACAGTTTTTGAATTTTTTTGTTGATCTTTGTGTGTACTTTATTTATCCTGGCTATCGAAGCTTTTATTGGATGTGTTGAATGTAAATTTTTTCCCATTCACTTAGTGGTTTTTTAGTATATATTTTTTTTCACTAAATGGCAAAAGTGTCTTTCTATTTTTTTAAATTTTTATTAGTGAAACACCATGAAGTACAGTTGTAAACTTACAAATTTTTAAAAAATTTTTACTAGTAAAACACCATGAGGTTAAGTTGTAGACTTAAAAATTTTTGTGCTTGGATTTCAATTATATGATGATCAAATACCCATCCCTCCACCAGTGGCCATTTTCCACCACCACGGGTCCCAGTATCCCTCCCACCCCCGATGCCCCCATCCCACCTTGCCTCTGTGGCAGGGCATTCACTTTTGTTCTCTCTCTCCTTTTGGGTGTTGTGATTTGCCAAAGAGGCATTGAGTGGCATCATGTTTGGTCTATAGTCTACTTTCAGCATGCATCTCCCATCCTGGGAGGATCCTCCCAACACCCTTTATTTGGTGCTCCCTTTTCTATCTGAGCTCCCTTTTCCTCTAGCATGTGTGGCTGAAAAAGTATAGTCGAAGTGACATCTGCACTTGTTTGTTCAATGAAGCACTTTTTACAATAGCCAGAATCTGGAAAAAAACCTGAGTGCCCAAGAACAGATGACTGGTTAAAGACTTACAAATTTTTGTGTTAGGGTTTCAGTTATACAATGATTGAGTACCCATCATCCACCAGTGCCCATTCCCCACCTCCAATAGTCCCAGCATCCTCCCACTCCCCCACCCCCCATACCACCCCACCCGTGTGGCAGGGCATTTACTTTTGTTCTCTCTCTCCTTTTGGATGCTGTGATTTGCCAAAGAGGCATTGAATGGCAATCATCTTTGGTCTATAATATTACTTTCAGCACGTATCTCTCATCCTGGGAGGATCCTTCCAACACCCTTTACTTGGTGCTTCCCTCTCTATCTGAGCTGTCTTCTCCCCAGCATGTGTGGCTGGCCTTCAAGCCATGGAGAGAACCCCCTGGTATTTATTTCGTCAATTCTTGGGTGTTAGTCTCCCATTTTTTTACTTTATATTCCCCAGATTAATGCAGTTATTCTATGTCTGTCCCTCTGTTTCTGACTCACTGTACTTAGCATGATACTTTCCATGTAGTACCACTTGTATGTAAATTTCATGATTTCATCTTTTCTAACAGCTGCATAATACTCCATTGTTTAGATATACCAAAGTTTTTTCAACCAGTCATCTGTTCTCAGGCACTCAGGTTTTCTCCAGATGTTGGCTATTGCGAATAGTGCAGCAATGAAAATAGAGTACAGATGTCATTTTGACAGTACTTTTATGCCTCTCCAGGATAAATTCCCAGGAGTAGCATTGCTGGGTCAAATGGAAGCTCAATTTCAAATTTTTTTGAGAATAGTCCATACTGTTTTCCAAAAAGGCTGAAACAGTCAGCATTCCCACCAACAGTGAAGGAGATTCCCTTTCTCACCACATCCACACCAATACTGGTTGCTTTTGTTCTTTTGAATATGGGCCAGTCTCTGTGGTGTGAGATGACATCTCATTGTTGTTTTGATCTGCATCTCCCTGATGATTAGTGATGTAGAGCATTTTCTCAAGTGCCTTTTAGTTATTCAGATTTCTTCTTTGGGAAAGTTTCTGTTTATTTCATCACCAAATTTTTGATGGGGTTAGATGTTTTCTTCTTGTAGAGTTCAACCAGTGCTTTATATATCCTTGATATCAACCTTTCTCAGATGGGTATTGGGTAAATGTTCTTTCCCAATCTGTACATTGTCTTTGTATTCTGGTTCCTGTATCTTTTAAAGCTTCTTTTTTTTCCTCTTTTTTTATTATTAGTGAAACACCATGAGGTACAGTTGTAGATTTACAATTTTTTGTGCTTGGGTTTCGATTATACAATGATCAAATACCCATCCCTCTACCAGTGCCCATTTTCCACCACCACTGATAATATTCCCACACCCCCATCCCCCCAATCCCACCCTGCCTCTGTGGCAGGGCAATCCCTTGTGTTCTCTCTCTTCTTTTGGGTGTTGTGGTCTGCAAAAGAGGCATTGAGTGGCAAACATGTTCAGTCCATAGTCTACTTTCGATACGCATCTCCCCTCCTGGGAGCTTCCTCCAAACACCCTTTATTTGGTGCTCCCTTCTCTATCTGAGCTGCCCTTTCCCCTAGAATGCCTGGCTGGCCTCTACGCTATGGAGTAATCCTCCTGGTGCTGATCTCAGCTATTCTTGGGTATTAATCTCATACTTTATTACTTTATATCCCCCAGATGAATGCAATCTTTCTATGTCTATCCCTCTCTTTCTGACTCATTTCGCTTAGCATGATACTTTCCATGTTGTACCACTTGTATGTAAATTTCATGACTTCATCTTTTCTAAGAGCTACATAGTACTCCATTGTGTAGATGTACCAAAGTTTCTTTAACCACTCCTCTGTTCTTGGGCATTCAGGTTTCTTCCAGTTTCTGGCTATTGTAAAGGGTGCTGCAATGAACAAACAAGTGCAGATGTCACTTCTACTATACATTTTTGCCTCTCTGGGATATAGTCCCAGGAGTGGTATTTCTGGGTCAAATGGGAGCTCAATTTCTAATTTTTTGAGAATCGTCCATACTTTTTTCCAGAAGGGCTGAACCAGTCGACATTCCCACCAACAGTGAAGGAGTGTCCCTTTCTCGCCACATCCTTGCCAGCATCGGTTGCTTTTGTTCTTTTGAATGTGGGCCAGTCTCTGAGGTGTGAGGTGGTTCTTTTGAAGCTTCTTAATTTAAGATAGTCCCATTTGTTTATCTCTGTTTCCAGTTCATTTGTCAGTGGAGTGTTGTCTTTGAAGACAGCATTAGCCTCAATTTTGTGGAGGGTTTTGCCGACACCTTTCTTTAATGTATCTTATGGATGTTGGCCTGATGGTGAGATCTTTGATCCATTTTGATCTGACTTCTGTGCATGGTGTTAGATCGAGATCTAGCCCATTTTTTTGCATGTTGTTGTCCAGTTATGCCAGCACCTTTGTTGAAGAGGCTTTCCTTGTTCCACTTCAAATTTCTTGCTCCCTTATCAAAGATTAGGTGTTCATATATTTGGGGTTGTTTTTACGGATATTTAACCGTGTTCTATTGGTTTCGT